GAAGAAAGACAAAGGAAGAAGGGGTTCAAGAAAGTAGTAGGGCAGTTAAAGAAAAGATCATCTGACGCTTGTTAAAACAGTAAGGAAGACTTTATTCGGGCTATTGCAATAGGGATATGGCAACCGGGGAGCAAGATCTGGCTCAACTCTGAATCCAAGGCCAAGTGGGGATGTGCAGCCAACAGAGTGTTGGTGGATGGAAAATTACTAAGAGGGGACATCAACAATTCTTGCCTTTACCAAGAATCAAAGGTAGGGCGTGAGGAATTTGAGTAGATATCAAAGGTGAGGAGATTCTCACTAAACCGACTTCGTAGAATTCTTTGCTGAGACTGGGCTGGGAAGGCCAGACACAGGATGGGGGGGTCAAAGCTGAGATTTAGTCAAAGAGAGGCCCAGAGGAACCTGATTAAAATTTGATCAAGGAGAGAGTCCTTGTCAGGGGTCAGCCGTCCAGAGCTGCAGGGATGAGGACGGAAAAAGTATAACCACATGGACGTCATTTGACTTCTGCAAGAGCTATGAAGTTTGAGGATACCTTTTATACAGTTCTATGTAAAAATACTTATTTTTAAAAGTAATTCCTTTTGTATATCCATATATGGAAATATGATGAAGCCATAAAAAGAACGAGAGAATTATTTATGTAGTGATATGGAATGGTTGCCAAGTTAAATCTTTAAGTGATAAAAGGAAGGTGCAGAAGAACATGTGTAGTAAGTTAGCATTTGTATAAAAAAGGGGGCAATAAAAATACACAGACATATATATGGGGGAGTGTGCCCCCATATAAATGCGTTTGCTGGTGTATGTGTAAGATGTTTTGCAAGGAGATACAAGCAACTGGTAGCACTAGGTGCCTGCAAAGACAGGAACTCAGTGACCCAAAGCACGAGCAAAGACTGTGCAATGCACAGCCTTTTGTACCTTTGGAATTTGGGACCACATGCAAGTATTACTTATTTTTAAAATTGGTGTATGAATATTCTGAGATATTATAATTTGCATTTCGCTAGACATATGTTCAAATGATCATATGAGATCTATCTTCATTTCTAAATTATTATATGTATCCCATTTTATAGAAAAACCATTATTTGTCCAATGTTTCCAACTATTCATTATTAAAAACTATACTGCAAGGTCTTTCCTGTACATTCATGTTTGTACGCACGTTTCTGTCGGATAAATTCCGATAGATGGAGCAAGACAGTTCCACATTCCCTTCCAGAAAGGCTGCTCTAGGCCACACATCTCCTTCATCCACACCAGTGGATGCCCCTTGCTCCATGTGTTTCGCACTGAGTATCCGCCCCGAATTGTGCAAGGTCTCTAGTGTGGCAGAGACGAGGCCGAGTGCTCACTCGCTTTTCCTCTGGAGCACACAGGTAGGCCACATTTCCCGGCATGCCTTGTGCTGAAGCAGGGCTGAGTTCTGGTTGATGGCAGTAGTGATGTACAGCAGCACGGCTAGAGCTGGCCCCTAAAAACTCTCCCTGTGGTCCTCAAGCTCTCTCTCTTCCTTCATCTGCTCAATGGGTACAGAAGGTCACATGGAGGACTCTGAGCTCTAGAGCATTACTTGTCGAGCAGAGAAATAAACTTGCCATATCCCATTGCTGCCTCCCCCCCTCCTAACTAGGATTTGACCCCACACCCAGGACCTGTCACCAAGTCCTTTGCTCAAATGTCATCTTCTCGGGGCACCTGGGTGGCTCAGTCAGTTACACATCCAACTTCAGCACAGGTCTTAATCTCAGGGTTCCTGAGTTCGAGCCCCACATTGGGCTCTCTGCTGCCAGTGGAGAGCCTGCTTTGGAGCCTCTGTGCCCCGCCCCCCCCCCCCCCCCCGCCGCCGCCCTCTGCCTCTGCCCCTCCTCATCCCTCGCAAAAATAAACATTTAAAAAACAAACAAACGTCATCTTCTCAAAGGGCATTCTCTACCACCCAACCTAGCACAACCTTCTGCCATCACTCTGCTTATCTGACCGCCTTTGAGGGATCTGATTGTCTTCTAATACTTATATTTCCTCTGAACCTTCTTCCCCAGACAATGCTGCAACCTTGATCAACCTGGCTAGCACCATTTAGGGCAGGAGGTGAGACATAGCTGCAGGTGACCACTAGGCCCCTGACCTCAGCCCACCACTCACCACTATTCTGGGGACCCTGTACCTCACGACAACTACAGCCGCATTTCCCAGGATATAATCCAAACAGAGGATGGTGACCACCTTCTTCATTCATTCTAAAACACCTATTGAGCACCTACTATGTACTAGACACTATTCTTTTAAAAAAAATTTTTTTTCAACGTTTATTTATTTTTGGGACAGAGAGAGACAGAGCATGAACAGGGGAGGGGCAGAGAGAGAGGGAGACACAGAATCTGAAACAGGCTCCAGACTCTGAGCCATCAGCCCAGAGCCTGACGCGGGGCTTGAACTCACGGACCGCGAGATCGTGACCTGGCTGAAGTTGGACGCTTAACGGACTGCACCACCCAGGCGCCCCTGTACTAGACACTATTCTAAATGCATTGAATATACCAGGGAACAAATGAGACAAAAATTCTTGCCCCATTCTGGTGGACGAGACAGACAATAAACAGTAAGCCCAATAAATAAGTGCCTTATATGAAAAGAGGCGATGGGGTGAAGAAGTTCAGGGTAAGAGGTAGGTGTCTATGCTAAGTCGGACAGAAAGAAGGTGACATCTGAGAAAAGACCTAGAGGTGACAGTCACATGTTTATCTGGGAGAAGTTTTCCAGTGAAACAATTATGCAAAGTCCCTGAGGCAGGGCCAAGTCTGCAGTGTTCAAAGAGCAGGAAGAATTCCATGTGGCCGGGAACCTGGAAGGAAACGAGGTCAGAAGTAATGATGAGGAGGGTGCCCAGATCACACAGGTTTTAGAGGTGAGTGTAAGGACTTTGGCTTTTGCTCTGAGTAACATGACGTGCCTTGGCAGTTTTAGAGAAGTGACATCTATTCTGACTTACATATTTTAAAGCAATTTTTTAATGTTTATTTATTTTTGAGAGAGAGAGTGTGCATGCGTGCATGGGGGAGCAGAGAGAGGGGAGACAGAGGATCTGAAGTTCTGTGCTGAAAGTACAGAGCTCGACGTGGGGCTCAGACTCACAAACCTTGAGATAATGACCTGAGCCGAAGTCAGAAGGTCAACTGACTGAGCCACCCGGGCGCCCCTATTCTGACTTACATATTCAAAGGGATCCCTCTGGTCATCGTACTAAGAACCTGCCCAGGGGTGGGAGCTGAGTAGAAATTGGGAGAGCAGGGAGAAGGCTGCTGCAGAAACCCAGGGAGAGTGACAGTGGCTGGTGCTGGATTTGGTAACAGGAAGTGTGGCTCTGTTTGAAGATGGGGCCAACAGGATCTCCTACCGCACTGGCTGCTGAGAAAACAGGAATCAAGGAGCCTTCCAAGCCGGCCTGAAGAGCTGGAAGAATGGAGCCACATGAATTAGGGAAGGCTGAAGGTGGAGTGGTTCTAGGAGCAGCATCGGGGGCTCAGGTCTGAACTTGGTAAGGCTGAGAAGTTTCAAGACATCAAAATAGAGACACTGGGTAGGCAGTTGATTGCAAGCATGGAGTTTGGGAGAAAAGTCTGAGTGGAGACTGAACTTCAGAAGTTGACTACTTTCCATAGTTGCTATTGCTGTCCCCACCCCCACCCACCCCTGGTCTATATTTTGTGACTCAAAAGAATGAATCATGCATGGCCACATCACTCTGAATGATAGGACTTATGTGTGCAGCTGAGGAGCACTGTAGTTGTGTGTTAATAGTCTTTTTTTTTTAATGTGTATTTATCTTTCAGAGAGAGAGAGAGAGAGAGAGAGAGCGTGTGCACATGTGGAGAGGGGCAGAGAGAGAGAGGGAGAGAAAGAATCAATCTCAAGAAGGCTTCGCACTGTCAATGCAGAGCCAGACGCCAGGCCCAATCCCACAAACCTTGAGATCATGACCTGAGCTGAAATCAAGAGTCAGACGCCCAAGCAACAGAGCCCCCCAGGTGCGCCAACAGTTTGTCTTCGACTGTGGGTTAACTGTTGTGCTCTCTAGAGAGACCACACTAGTCTAACTTTTAGCACTTTGAGTAGCGTGACTGTGTTTTCTAGGAGTTCAGACAATGAAAATGAGAATGATTACGTAACAACACCAGCATGACACAGATGTCACTGAAACACAGATCCAGTGATTGAAGCAGGTAAATGACAAATGGGAGGATGCGTAGAACTGGATTAGGAAAGCAACTGTGCAGAAAGGAATGTGAGCTCGCGCACGGTGCGCAGACATGAAAGCACCCATGGAGACTGAATCTCACAAGTTCAGGGTAAGACGGGCGAGGACTTCTAAATCTATCAAAAATGGGGGCTTTTCGGTCTCCCCCAAAGACACCAATGCTCAGTGGAAACTAGCCGCCACTGAACTGGGGTGGGCACACCACACAAACAAGCAGGCATTATCACACAGTATCCTTCCCCTTAAGGATTCAGATATTGCACATTTCCAGATTCAGATAGTGCAGCTCAAATGTCCTGTGGGCTAACAAAAGGGGGAAATTCTGGAAACAGATGTGTTGGCCCCTGAGGGTGCAAAACCGATTCTGTCAGGTCTTCCTGTAGTTAGTTATTCATGCTATAGTTAGTCTTCCTATAGTTAGTCCACTGCAGTGTGGCAGCAACAACAAATGTGCCCCCTAGCTCTCAGGTACTTCGATTCGAAAAATGGAGTTTCAATCAACTTTCTCAACTCCTATGACTACTGCAATGCAATCACAGAAGACGTAGAAGATTGCTGATCCTTTATCCAAAGACAAACTAGACTTTCCTTATTTCTCTGCATATTTGGCGGGCATGCAACCCACCCCATTCAGTCTCTGTTTCTTAGCAAGGAAAATGAAAAGACCTTACTTGTTAGACATCCTGGACATCTTCTGTACAACATTGCTAAAACAGAGATGTAATTTACTTACCTGTGACATTGAGGTGTTCATAATGTGCATTTTGGTCACATTTCCATTTCCTCAAAATTCACAGAAGCATTTAATGAGATTTTTTTTTACTTGATCGCTTTTACTTCATCACGTAAAATCTGCTTTGACACGCGGCTCAGCAAGCCCACATCGCACTAATTCCTGGTGTCAGTCCGATGTGATGACATCAAGCTCGGTATCCTCTTGACAAAAGCACTGATCATGGAATAATTAGGATTTTCGGTTTCACCACCACATAGAAGAAAAGAAGAATGTCCTCAAGACTGCAGGCAGTTTAGAGAATTCTTACTGTAAAAGGAAAGAGAAAAAGCAAACTTACCGTATTGTCAGAAGAAAAAAATATGTCGTTATTTTTTCTTCAACCTAGATAATTTGCTTTTTAATCAGTACTATTGGGTTTACATTCTCTTTTTTAAAGTCTTTCATTTAAAGGGGTGCCTGGGTGGCTTAGTCAGTTAAGTGTCCACGTCTTGATTTTGGCTCAGGTCATATCTCATGATTCATGGGAGTGAGCCCCAAACTCAACTCATATTGAACCCTTTGTCAGCACAGGGCCCGCTTGGGATTCTCTCTCTCTCCCTCCCCCACTCATGCTCATGTGTACTCTCTCTCTCTCTCTCAAAATAAATGAACATTCATTTATGTATCTTAAGAACATACACGTTTGCCTGGGCCTGGTTCCATGGGACTTGTGCTCTGCTGGGTACAGATGCTTGGGGTTGTTCTGGTCTTCATTTTCTGGTCTGCATTTACCCCTTTTTCTCACCAGCACCGTGCACTGCTCCTCCACAGTCCTGGTGTTATTCTCGGTGGCTTCTCCTGGAAAGTACGAGATTTGCCTTGGACTAGACGATCTGCCCACACTCTGCAGCAAGAGCAGCTCCATCAACCGTCCAGGCATCTGCCCTTGGGAGCCGCAGGAGGGCAGATCCCTTTGTTACACAATCTTGTCCATGTCCTTGGCATTTTTTTTTATTTTATTTTTTTATTCTTGAGAGAGAGAGAGAGAGACAGACAGACAGACAGACAGAGTATGAGTCGGGGAGGAGCAGAGCAAGAGAGGGACACAGAATCTGAGGCAGGCTCCAGGCTCCAAGCTGTCAGCGCAAATCTCGATGCGGGGCTCAAACTCACAAGCCGTGAGATCATGACCTGAGCTGAAGTCGGCCACACAACCGACTGAGCCACCCAGGTGCCCCACATCCTTGATGCTTTTGCCGCTTCTTAATACTTTTCAAAGTGACACTCTTTCCTTCTGTCCAGCTGACCTGACATACCATGCATCCCATAATGTCTGGCCCATCAGAGAAGGAAGAAGGGATTCAAATTATTTGGGTCTGACCTTGTTTCACGTCACCACCTCACTGGCAAATATTTATTGGGTTAAAAAAGAAAGACTACTGTGACACTCGTCAGCTCTCTGTGTCATCAGGGGCTTCCAGATAGGCTCAACAGCTTTCAAACCTTAATTCCAAGCACGTTAATATTATAAAACACAGTCAACCAAAATTGAGAAATTCCACTAGGACAGCACTTCTCATCCTTGCCTGCACATTGAAATAGATTTTCAAATCAGTATATACATTTTTTTAAAGTAGGCTCCATGCCCAACATGGGGCTTGAATCCATAACCCAGAGATCAAGAGTCACATGCTCTACTGACTGAGCCAGCCAGGTGCCCCTTGGTATATATTTTTTAATACCAAAGTCTGGGTCTCACCCTAAGACATTCTGATTTAATTGCTGTAGGGTGTGGGCTCAGACTTTTTAAAAGCAGCATACTTTATGGTAGAAGCCAGCTGGCTTTTTTTTTTCTTTCTTTCTTTTTTTTTTTTTAAAGTTTTATGCCCAACATGGGGTTTGAACCCATGACCTTGAGATCAAGAGTCACATGCTTTACCAACTGAGCCAGCCAGGTGCCCTGCCAACTTGCTTTCTTTCAGGGTTATAAACTTCCTTAGAGAATCTGGTTCTATTTGTGCATATTCTGACTGAAAGCTTTTCACAGCATAAATAAGGTGCTTGCTTGCCCACTGAAGGGAAGTACTGACTGAAATACTTATTTCTTATTCTGATGACTTTATCAACAAAGTCAGTATATTCGAAGGCAAGCACAGATCATCAGTTCAACCACCAAGGTGAAGTGGAGATTGCTGAACATCTGCTTTCTGCTTAACAAACCCTACCTCCTCACCTCTGCACTCCCTTGACTGCCATTTTCTGCCTCCTCAGAATCCTGAGGGTCATCGGCTCACTCAACCACTTCAGCATCTGCACACGTCCCCATACACCGCCACCTGTCCCTCCCCACACTGTTCTCAATACTCCCTCAGCCTTCATGCCCACCACTTCTAGGTGGCCTACTTGGTTGAAGGTAGTCATTCTTTGTGAACTGAGTCAAGCATTTTGAAAGCATTCCTGTTATTGCAATACCTCCACCAATGGCAATTGTGACAGGATGCAGTGACGGATGGCAGCAGCAGTGACAGGCAGCAAAGGAAGTTGAGATGATGGTGGCTGCTGTTAAGGCAGCCGTGACAGGCTGGGGCGGCTGTGGCAATGGGTGGTGGCCATTGTAATGAATGGCCACAGGGTGGCTACCACTGAAGTGAACTGCACTGAGGCAGCTGCTCTTTGCTAGAGAGCTTTCTCTCCACCAAAGTCCACTCTGCCTCTGTATCTGACAAACAGGAAGCAGCAGGGAATTTGAAACTCCAGTCCCCTAAGTGACCCTGAACTAAATGACTGATGGGGGTTAGTGTATAAATACCCCCCACCTCTTGAGTGGGAAGGTATGTTCTCCACTGTTTCCCAGAGTTCCCCAGAGAATTAAGCTGTTGCCCAGTGATAATCTGCTTGATAATGCAGCCTTGATGTACTGCTTTCCCTTCCTGTTTCACTTCCCTCAGCCTTACCAGTGCTTTCTGGGGTCATCTCCCAATGCCTTGCCTCAAAGTCTATTTCTGGGGGAACCCAACCTAAGATAGTGCATCATGAACCAAGGATTATGATCCAAGCACAGATGGCACATTAACAAAAGCTGACCCTATGCCAAGCCATAAAGTCTCAACATATTTCAAAAGATTGAAACCATATAAAATGTGTTCCCAGCCCAATTGCAATTAGGCAAGATAACTAGAAAAATCCCCATATGCTTAGGAATTTAAAAATACAGTTTTAAATTTCTAAATAAGCTGGGATCAATGAAAAATGCAAAACAGAAAGGCTTGCTTTGTGGGAAATTTAAATACATACATTAGAAAAGAAGAAAGATGAGGTGCCTGGGTGGCTCAGTTGGTTAAGCATCTAACTTCGGCTTAGGTCATGATCTCACCGTTCGTGATTTCGAGCCCCGCATTGGGCTCTGTGCTGACAGCTCAGAGCCTGGAGCCTGCTTCAGATTCTGTGTCTTTCTCTCTCTGTCCCTCCCCCGCTTGTACTCTCTCTCAAAAATAAACATTAAAGAAAAAAAAGGCTAAAATTCAGTGAGCTAAGCTTCCATTTCAAAAAGGTAGAAAACCGGGGTGCCTGGATGGCTCAGTCAGATAAGTGACTGACTCCTGATTTCAGCTCAGGTCATAATGTCACCATTCATGAGCCCCACATTGGGCTCAGTGCTGAAAGTGCAGAGCCTGCTTGGGATTCTCTCTCTCTCTGCCTCTCCCTCATTTGCTCTGTGTGTGTGTGTGTGTGTGTGTGTGTGCGCGCGCATGCGTGTGTTCGTGCGCACACACGTACTCTCCCTCTCAGAAAGATAAACTTTAAAAGGTAGAAAACAAAATTAAATCCAAAAAAGGTAATTATAAAGAAGGTAATTAAATTAAAAACAAATACACAACACAAAGAACATCGACAAAGCCAAAAGTAAATTCTGTGTAGATTAAAATTGGTAAACTAATCAAGACTGAATAAGTAGAAAACAAAGAGGGTACAAATAACCAATGTCAGAAATGAGAAAGCAGCTTTCACTGCAGATTCTATAGACATTAAAGAGATTATATGAGGTTATTATGACCAACTTTATGGCAGTTTGAAATTTTAGATCATGTGAAAAATTCCTAAACGCAATTCACCACAGGAATAGAAACTAGTAAAGTTCCTATGGTAGTTTAAATGTGGGCAAAATTCCTTGCAGCCAAATGCCATCAAGAGGCGGAGTCTCCTACCCCTTTAACCTGGGTTGACCTCGTGACTTGCATTGACCAACAGAAAGTGGTAAAAATGGACTTTGACGGTTCCATTTTTGCTCTCTTGGACCCTTGATACCACCAGATAAGGAAGCTGGTCTAGCCTATTGGGAGAGAGGCCACTTTGAGAGGTTCTACATAGTCTCGACCTGTTTTGTCTGTTCTTATCACAGTTCCTTTAGCTACATGGAGCAGAACCCCACTCAAGCTTACCCAGGCAAAGTGGGGTTGGCTGAATACAAAGAATCTGAGGACTCAATCCACAGCCCAAGAAAACTGGAGCTGCGAACAGAAAGCCAGCAGGACCCAAGCAGCCCTTTTAGGGACCACAGAAGCTAATCACAGTCCTCCCTCTACCTGGGTTTTCCCTGCTTTGGGCTTCCTGGCATCTGTTAGCTCTTGCAACCCTGATGGCAGGACTTCCACCTCAGCTCCCAAGCCAAGTGACAACTTTCTTTGTCTTAACGATCAAATCCTGAGGAGACACTCTAGCTCATTTTTCCAAGCCAGAGCACAAGACTTAGGCTTCAAATAGTCAGTCCAGTCATCACTGGTCAGTCACTTCTAATTTCTGGAAGTCTGGAGTCACCCACAGGGGGAAGCAACATGTCTGAATGAATCTGGCTGCAGGTCCTGGGCACACCAACTAGGCACCTGGGGTTCTTTCTCCTACATACGTGTCTGTCTGCCTTCTGTCCTTTAGGACATGCCCCTGCTGGGGAGCGTGTAATCAAATAGCTGGGCCCACAGAACACGGACTCCTGAGGAGAAATGCTCAGGAGCTGCAGCAGCCATTGCTGGTCCCTGCCCACATCCACTCAGCATTCTTCTGGGCCCTGAATGCTTACTTGATTCTCCACTACTCTCCGCTCAGGGCTTTTTTGATGGCAGGGCACATGACAACACATGGGGCAGGCAGAGGTGCTAGATGGTCAACACCCATGGCAACAGCCCCAATGACAGTTGGGGAGTTGATGATCTATAGCCCAACTTCCTTGCCCCATGGATTGAGCCCACTGACCACGGTGGTGACTGGCCTGATAATGCACCTTTTATTGGCTGCCTTCCTGTCTCACCTCCCCACTCCCTTTCAAATGCTTCTGGAATCACACATTCCAAATATACTATCTGCTCTCCGGTTCTCAGGGTTGGACTCTGGAAGAACACAAACGAAGGCAGAAGTCCAGGGCAGCAGACTCTAAGCCATATTCCACAATGCAGCCGTTTTCAATAATAAAGCCAGTATTTTTAGCCCCATCGCCTAGTGTGCATGTCTATCACACAACTGGCTCAAAACTCAGAAGGAAAAGAAGTGTGATATTTATTGCCCTCCAAGCCTCAGGTAAACACTCAATAAAGACTTGGTAAATGCTAAAGTGGAAGGGAGAGAGAGCCTTTTCCCATGTCTGTGCAGGAGACAGGAAGTGGCTGTTGTAACAAGGGAAGAAGAGGAGTCAGCTTAACCCTGGTGAACACGTCCTTCTTTGGCACACTAAGTGAAGCTGGGGAACAGAGGAGCAGGGTTTCTGCCCAGCCAGCTCTCCAGGGGCCCCTCAGGTGCTGAAGGCAGGAATCAAAGCCCGGTATATAGAGTCTTTATTTATTGTAAGTCCTGCTGTCCAGAGAAGCAAGACCCACATCCAGGGTCCTCATGACTTCACCTGGCCACTCTTCAGGGGTGGGGGCATCAAGTGGCCACTCACGTCTAGTTTTCCTATGGCTCAAAGAGTCCTCAGGAGGCAGGAAGCGGCTGTGCCTATAGAAAAAACACATCAACATCTACTAGCACCTACTTTGTGCCCGGCCCTGGGACCACCACCGGGGAGACTGCAGCAGAGGCTGCCCTTGCCAAGTCCACAGTCTGGAGGGGGAAAGTATTAAGTGAGGACCATGCCATCTGCCATGTGAACGCGTGAGACACAGTGAATTGTCACTGGGAGCAGGGAAGGCTCCATTTACTATATTTACTGAGCACCTCCTCTGTAACGTTGTTACAGGGCACTGAATGAAGCAGGCACAAATCTCTAACTCGAGGAAGAGACAGACAACAAACAAACAAACAACTAAAAATATGTCAACTGGGTAAGTTCTACGAAGAAAAGTAAATCAGGGTGTGTGGAGGGGGAGGTAGAGGTAGCACTTCTGTCAGCTACATGAACATAAGACGTCCTTATATCATGTTTTCTGAGATGAGACTGGCTACATGTTTGCCACTTTGCAGAGCAGAGAATAGAGACTGGCATCTCGCTGCCCGCAATCAGGTGGGGAAAGCTGCACCTGGGATGCCATTACCCAGAAGGAGGAAGATGGGGAGGAGGAGCAGGTGTGGTGGTAATTATTCTGAGTGCACTGAGGAGCTATGACAAGGCTGTAAAGGGGAGAGATGTGACCTAATTGCCATTTTTACAAGTTCCTCTGGCCGCCAGGGGAGAGCAGACTTGTGGGGCGGGGCAGGATGGCCACAGGGAAGACCAGGGAGAGGCTGGCTGCTTATGTAGGGAGGGAACAACTAGCCCTAAGATGGGAAGGTGAGGTCTTTACTGTTCACATGCCCAAACAACTCGGAAAAAAAAAAAAAAAAAAAAAAACAATGCTAACGTATGACCAACATATAGACTAAGAAACTATGTGAACGGTATGAAATTACTAAATATTTTCTAAGAATTAAAAGTCCTGATAAAGAAGATGTGGTTTATATATACAATGGAATACTACTTGGCAATGAGAAAGAATGAAATCCTGCCATTGGCAGCAACGTGGATGGAACTGGAAGGTATTATGCTGAGTGAAATAAGTCAGAGAAGGACAGATATCGTATGTTTTCACTCATATGTGGATCTTGAGAAACTGAACAGAAGACCATGGGGGAAGGGGACAAAAAAATAGTTACAAACACAGAGGAAGGGAGGCAAACCACAAGAGACTCTTAAATACAGAGAACAACTGAAGCAGGGTGGGAGTGTGGGGGAGAGGGAAAGTAGGTGATGGGCAATGAGGAGGGCACTGTGGGGATGAGCACTGGGTGTTGTATAGAAGCCAATTTGACAATAAATTATATCCATTAAAAAAAAACAATTAAAAGTCGTGCTAGTGTCGGCTGTTAGGGCCTGAACTTTTCATTTATTGCTGCCTTATCAAAACGAAACAAAACAAAACAAAACAAAACAAAACAAAACAAGGACTACAGGGCCTGTCAGAAAGGTATCTCAACCTTTAGCCAAGAACTTCTCTGCAACAGGCAATAGGAATGAAGCAGTGACAAGGCAGTAAGATATAAGCCATGATGGAGGGAGCTCAGAGACCATGGGTGCCTGGGGATGGGGATAGGCCAGCATGGGAGATTTCCAGAGGGAGGTGATATCTAAGCTGGAATAGCAAGTAGCTAGGTGGCCTAGAAGGGCAATCCAGGCAGAAGGAAACAGTTGGGTAACAGCCTGCCAGCAGGACAGACATGCATGCACTCGAATAATGCACGTTCACTTGGTCTGGAACGCAGAGCTTGAGATGGAAAGCAGGGAGTGGTGGGGCCAGAGTCCACACCATGCAGGGACCTATAAGCTGTTCCAGAACTGAGATCTGACCTGGTGGAAATGAGGAGTCATGGAAAAGTTTTTTAAGGGAAGCAGAACATGGTCAGATTTCCTCTGGGACTGCTCTGGAATCATCAGAGAGAATAGATTAAAAGGGATAATACAGAGCCATGGAGGCCCAAATGAGAGGGTGTTAAGAGGGAGGTGGTACAAAATGTGACTTTTGTCTTAGGAGCTCACAGTCCATCCAGTGGGGGGAGACAGTGAACATCTAGTGTTTCTCAACTTTGTTTTTTTAAACATTTATTTATTTTTGAGAGAGAGAGAGAGAGAGAGAGAGAGAGAGAGAGAGAACAGGGAAGGGGCAGAGAGAGAGGGAGATACAGAATCTGAAGCAGGCTCCAGGCTCCAAGTTGTCACCACAGAGCCCGATGCTCAAACTCACAAACCGCATGATCATGACCTGAGCTGAAGTTGGATGCGTAACCAACTAAGCCACCCAGGCACCCCTCAACTTTGTTTTTATTACTGCTCCCCATGAGGTCTTTATAGACATTTTTTTTTTAAAAATTGCAGTCACCCACAAAATTTTAATACCATAGTTATACTGCATATCTGTTTATGTACTATATTCATTAAAGAGAGTAAGACTTACCCCCCTCAACCCCATCCCAGTACAGCTGAGGGGCAGTGAGGAAGGGAACAGAGAGCAGGTAAGGAAGCCTGAGGAAGAACACAGAGAACCCAGCAAGGACCTGGGATTTTGTTCTCAATGTGAATGGGAAGCTATTGAAGAGCTCTAAGCAAACATGTAATGTGATTCATTTTTAGTTCCTCTATGCTCTCTCTGGCCACTGTATGGAGGCAAGTAAGACGAGATTCAGGGAGACCAAGGAAAAGGCTGGAGCAGGGATCCTGGAGGTGAACAGGTCAGGAAAGTGGCTGGACTAAAGCAGGGGCTATGGGAAGGGGCAGGAAATGATCCTGTTCTGGATTCTGGATGCACACAGTGCAGGTCTGTGTGGGGGTAGGGTGGGGCTGGGGATAACTCCCAGGTCTTTAGTCAGAGCAACTAGAACTGATAAGCCCCCGCCTCACCTCCACATTCGAGGGTGAGCGTGGTGGCTGCACCTGGTCAGCACACTGCAGGAAGCGGCGCACGTGCTCTGCACAGTTGCCCACTGCTGCCTCATTCTGTCGAAGACACTCCTCAAAGGCCTCAAAAGGCTCAGCACAGGCCTGGCGGATCTGCCGGATGATTGGGCTGTGGAGGTAGGGCATTTCAGGCATTCAGACTTCCATTCCACTCCCCACCTCGCCCCCTGCCTCCCGCCACACATTGTCTCATACTTGCCCACACTCACTGGGAGGATGTGCATTGAGCGATACTCATCTTAAGGTGGTGGCAGTCCCGCTGCCATGACTCAGGCTTGGCCGCCACACACTGGCCATATTGCTCCAGCTCCCGGCCACAGTAGCGAGCAGTGACCTCCAGGGCCGCCTGCCTGTGGAACATAATGGGCTGAGGATAATTCCAGGCAACAGACAAGAAAGGGAGTTCTGGTCTGGGTTGGAGGTGGAAGCAGAAACACTAGGGAGTCTGAAGGATCCTGGGATAGGGTCAGGGAAGTGGAGGGAGAGGTAAGGCATGAGCCCTGGGGAATGCGGAACAGGTCGGAGGGCTTCTGGGAAGATAGTGGAGATCTTTTCCAAAAAAGACCTAATTATTCAAAGGCAAGCCTCGGGATCGTGCAAGAAGGGTCTTGGGAGTCCAGGCATCCCTCAACAGGGCCCTAACTATACTGAATTCTAGGGGTAAAAAAAACCTGGGAACCCTAAAGGATTTGGAGGTCCTAAAAAGAGGTTTGTAAGCCCACGTGGTGAGATCTTGGGTCCTGGGGAAGCTTCTCTTGACCAGAGAGTCTTCAAGATTAGGCCTGAGGACAGGGTTACCGGAGGTGAGACTTGAGGCCCTGGGGTAGGTTTGGGGATCCTGGGGTGGGTCTCAGAGTTTTAGAGATGTGTAAGTCCTGGATGAGGATGGGGCTCTGGGACAGCTCTGGAGGGTCCTAGAAGTAAGCTCTTGGGAACAAGATCTAGAAATCCAGAGCAGAATCAGAGGTCTAAGAAAAAGTCTGCAGGCACTACAAGGCAGGTCTGGGGTACTGCACAGATCTGCAGGTTCAAAAACGTATGGTCAGGTGATCTAGGGGGACGAGCCCGCAGCTCTAAGAACGGGTATAAAAACCGTAAAAGTCCTGAGACAATCCTGAAGTCTGCAGGGTGAGGGACCAGACCTTGGATCCTGGGGGCAGGGACTGGGTGTTAGGGATGGGCCTGAAAGTCCTCAGTTACTACGAGAAACAGGGGCGGAGCCTAAACGTTCAGAGGGCGGGACCTCCCTCTCTCTTCCACGCGGAGATGGAGCTTGTAATAGACGGCGCTGGGCCCTAAGGGTAGGTTCTCCGAGGAACAAAGAGGCCAATCCTTCTTCCCGGAGTGCGGGCCTAGGTTTAGGTCACTGGGGAAGGGAAGGGGCGAAGCGGCAGATCGGAGGTACGCGCTCCCACTACTCACATCTCGAGGCCGGTGCCGGAGGGAAATCAGTCAGGGAGAAGAGCCCCGCCTTTTCCGGTGCAGGCTGTCATGGCGGCGCCCAGGTCAGCAGTCCCTGCCTCGTTTTTTCCGGTTACAGAACCGGCAAGTTGCCTCGTTCCCTTTAGGACCAACCTGTCATGGCGGCGCCCTGTGTCTCCTTCCGGTCCCGCCTGTATTGGCAGCGCCTGCGCAGCCACCGCGGGCTCCCAGTCTGACTCGGTTGTTGTACCTCTTTCTACTTCCGGATTGCGGGGGCGATGCCGCAATGCACCGGAAGTAGGGCGTGGCCGCTACTGCGCGCGCTCTTAGCCACCCACTGGGATTTGGTGGCGAGTGTTTACTGCAGTCTGTCAGCGTGGCCCCGTTGGTGGCTAGGTTGGGCACCGTGGCTGCGGGCTGCTGGGCGCTGGGAGTCTGATGCATAGCGCCGCGATGCCACCATCTGTTTTGCGCAAGCGCTCCCTGTCCCCTCGGGGTGCTGGTTCGTGCGCGCGCACGGAGCGGCGGGAAGAGGGGTCGCAAGAGTGGGACCAGCCGGCCTGGACGTCCCACCGGCTGTACCTGGGTTACCCAGACCAGATCCCCTCCTTCTAGGTATAAGCCCAGGAGCCAGGCCGGACTTGATTTTTTTTTTTTAATTTTTTTTTTAACGTTTATTTTTTGAGATAGAGAGAGACAGAGAATGAATGGGGAAGGGTCAGAGAGAGGGAGACACAGAATCCGAAACAGGCTCCAGGCTCTGAGCTGTCAGCACAGAGCCCGATGCGGGGCTCGAACTCACGGACCGCGAGATCATGACTTGAGCCGAAGTCGGACGCTTAACCGACTGAGCCACCCAGGCGCCCCCGGACTTGATTTTAATGATGTCTCCACGTGATTATGGGCATGGTTTTTTATTTTTTTTATTTTTTAATGTTTATTTTTGAGAGAGAGAGTGTGTGAACAGGGGAGGGGCAGAGAGAGACACACACACACAGAATCCAAAGCAGGTTCCAGGCTCTGAGCTGTCAGCACAGAGCCCGAAGCGGGGCTCAAACACACGAACCATGAGATCATGACCTGAGCTGAAGTCGGTCACCTAACCGACAGAGCCACCCAGGCAACCCTTCTTTCTTTTTTAATTTTTTTTTTTTTTTTTTTTTTTTAATGCGCAATTCTTTCTGATTTCTCCTGGCAGGGTATTGTTTCCACTTCCTGTCCTGTCCTCCAGTGTGAGGCTTGATGGTATGTTTCCCCACCTGTGAGGTTGGGCGCAAGTATCCCTTGGGCAGAGACTAAGCATCAGCCCAGCAGTCTAATATGTAGGGGTCTTCCCAGACTCTGGCCAAAATGAACATAAAATGCACTTCATCTTGGTGTTTGAGGAGCGAGAGCTACTTGTGAGCAAGTGACAATTACTTGGAGTATTGTGTACTTGCTCATCTGTAAAGTGGGGATGATGATAGTGACATCTTTTACATAGAGCATAGTGCATGTGAACAGTTTAGGGCACAGCCTGGACCCTCAGGAGTTGTGGATGAGTGAGAGCTGTTGGAGGAGGCTATTACGGTTTTGCTGCTCATGGTTGGCCCTTGGTATAAGATTGTGCCACTGGCCATCTGAACCTGCCTCAGATGACAGGGACAGGTTTGGAGCCATGGGCACGGGAGGAAAGCTTATCACCCAAAGCCCTCCTTCTTACTTGCAAAAACTTCCAAGTGTATTTCTGGTAGGAGAGAAGGGGAGGAAACCCCATAAATGACAGAATATTTTGGCTTCAAATGTGGACTGAATCCTCATGTTTCACATTTAAGTGAAATCTTAACCTGTCCCTTGCCACTTCTCGAGTCTAATCTCGAAGTCTGGGTAATGTGCTTCCTCAAGGGAAGGGGTTCAAAGATCTGGGTTCATAAGTAGAGAAGATGAAGACCCCAGCAAGGGATACATTCTGGGGAGTGTGACACCTATGCCCCCAAGCTTCTAGATTGTTTTTGGCCTATAGCACAAGAGTGTAACTAAATTTCTCTCTAGGGATCAAATGTCAGGCAGACCTAAGTGACGATGGGGTTTGGCGTGAAGCAGACCTGGGTTTGAATCAGAGATCTTGGACAGAATCTTTCTGTTCTCTGGGTTTCAGTTTCCTCCAGAACAGCTGCTTCAGGATGCCCTTGTGAGCAGAAACCAAAGTGACATCTGCAGAGCAGATGGTATGGAGCACTTTGTACTTTCCCTTTCTAGCCTTATCAGAATTTGTTAGTATTGTAATTGTTTTCTTATTTTCTGCCTGCTTTAAGACCCTGGAACTTTACAAGGGAAGGGGCCTTGTATCTATCTTATGGTCACCACTGGATTTCCTCCCACCCACCCACCCATACCATGGGGTCTGGCAGAGTAGTGATGGAATGAATGAAACCATATGCTCACAGGATTGCGTGAGGATAAGATGAGACCCAGTCATTGACTCGAATGATACTTATTAAGTACTGCTTTATGTGTCTGGAACTGTTTTAGCTGTTGGGGAAACAGCAGCGACTAAAATAGACAAAAATTTATACTGTTAAAAAAGGAATGGGGCGCCTGGGTGGCTCAGTCGGTTAAGTGTCTGACTCTTGATTTCAGCTCAGGTCATGATCTCACAGTTCGTGAGTTCAAGCCCTGCATTGCACTCTACACTGACAGTATAGAGCCTGATTAGGATTCTCTCTCTCCCTCTCTCTCTGCCCCTTCCCTGCTTGCTTGCTGTCTCTCAAAAAAAACTAAACTAAAAAAAAAAGGGGGGTATATGGTATGATGTTTTGATATACGTAGGCATTGTGAAATGATTACTGCAGTCAAGCTGATTAACATATCCATCAGCTCATGTAGTTACAATTTCTTTTTTTTTTTTAATTTTTTTTTTCAACGTTTATTTCTTTTTGGGACAGAGAGAGACAGAGCATGAACGGGGGAGGGGCAGAGAGAGAGGGAGACACAGAATCGGAAACAGGCTCCAGGCTCTGAGCCATCAGCCCAGAGCCTGACGCGGGACTCAAACTCCCGGACCGCGAGATCGTGACCTGGCTGAAGTCGGACACTTAACCGACTGCGCCACCCAGGCGCCCCTGTAGTTACCATTTCTTAAGTGTGGTGAGAACATTTGAGATCTGATCTCTTAGCAGATTTCAAGTGAGGTCTCCAGAACTTGACTCATCTTACAACTGAGTTTATACCCTTTGACCAACATCTCCCCATTTCCCCCACACCCCAGGCCTGGCAGTTACCATTCTGTTTCCATGAGTTCAGCTGTTTCAAGTTCCACATGTAAGTGAGATCACGTGGTGTTTGTCTTTCTGTGTGTGTCACTGAGGATATAGTCCTCCAGATAGGGCACGTCAGATTTGATGAGAGGCAGGGAGTGTGATGGGTGGGTACCGGGTGGTGGATGGGAGCGTGCACTTGTTGAATGTGACTGACTTGGAAGGAGTTGTTCAGTGCTTTGATCCCTGGCCAGAGTAGGAGCCACCACTAATGGCAGCACAGAAACAGCTTTGACCAGATGATCTGTGAGCTGGCAACTAAGTGAGTCCTGACCCTTGATCCCCCGAGGGGCCCACGTGGCAGGAAGGGATGGTGCCTGAGTGTGTCAGTGATTTCCTAATGGAGTTATGAGAAGAGCACTGTAATTAGGAGAGGGTCTCCTGGACTCCTGAGAGCTCCTTCTGTCCCCTCAGGTGGCTTTACTGCCACCTTCATCTTCTGGGCTTTTTTATTTTGCCTTTTCTAGAAGCTCTCCCTCTTGATCTTAAGTTTATAGGACATGATAGGTGGGAGGCAGATCCTGACAAGCCCAATACACGTGAAATCTCCAGGCTGAGGACAGCAGTGAGCAGTCACGCTCTTCCAGCCACATTACATCTTTTCTCACTGGTCAGGTGGCTAGTGACATAGAGCTTCAGGACCACTCCTCCTCTGGAAATAGTGGCACAGGTAATTGTTAGAGGAAACCATATACTCTGAATCGGGGTGAGGGGTGTCTCCTGGCCTCTTTTCTCCATATTTTTAAAAATAATTTCAGGTTTTTTTTTTTTTTAAGGTCTATTTATTTATTTTGAGAGAGAGAGAGCAGGGGAGGGGCAGAGAGAGAAAGACAGAGTCCCAGGCAGGCTCCTCACTGTCAGTGCAGACCCTGATGAAAACGGAGACTGTGACCTGAGCTGAAATCAAGAGTCAGACGCTTAACCGGCTGAGCCACCCAGGCGCCACTTAAGCTCCTTAGTTTAAAAAAAAAAAAAAAAAAAAAAAAAAAAAAAAGACGGAGAAAAAGGAATGCTTTCCTTGAAGCTTAACTTTCACTTCACCAGTGTCTCCTGGATCCCATGTCTCCCAGGTTTTTTCTTCCAGAGCCCAAAGCCTTAGGATTCCTGGGAACTGCAATGAATCCCATCCCTGCCTCTTGCTTCTGGATTCCAGCCATTTGTCAGTCTATGCAGTGGCCAGTGAGGCTTGGAAGAGGGTCCGCTTGTTGGGTCCTGCCATGCTCCACACAGGCCTGTATTAAGGGTGTTGGGTGAGGGAGGGTTTGGGAAGAGGTGAAAGTCATGGCTGTGTCCTAGAGAAACTGACAAGCACTAGCTTAACAACCTAGGTGATGATGGGTGTGCTGCAGAACAGAGGGTGTGGTGCCCTCGTGGTGAGGTCTGCTGGGCTCTGTTCTGCCTCCTGGGGACTGGTCTTAGGCAAGACCTTGACCGCTCACTCAGGGCAATTCTTTTCTCGTGCCCTGGGCTGCTGCCTGGTGCTGGGGTTCCCAGGGGGCCTGGCCACCTCCTCAGCACTGCCTGTGCCTTCCTCATCCACTGCAGATTCATGGGGTTTGAGGCATAGGAGATACAGATTCAGAAGCTGCAGCTGATGAATGGGTCCCAGTGACAATCTCTTCCAGGTCCTCCAGAGCTGTGGGCCACAGGCTGAAAGGGAGGTGTGCAGAAACCCATCCTAGATTAGAGAACATTGCCCTCACTTCTTGGCTTTGCCTTCAAGAAGTGGTATTTGAGGAGTGCCTGGGTGGCTCTCTGTTGAGCATCTGACTCTTGATTTCAGCTCAGGTCATGATTGCAGGATCATTGGATCAAGTCCTACATCAGGCCCTGTGCTGAGTGAGGAGCCTGTTTGGGATTCTCTCTCTCCCTTAAAAAAAAAAAAAAAAAAAGTGGTATCTGATGTTTCAAGTAAGACCCACCCTACACCACTTGGGAAGGAAAAGGAAGCATGGAAAGGGTTAATTAAGTGGTTTGGTTCCCTTACAGCCAGTCTGGGCTTCCTCACCAATCTCTGTCCACATGGAGGCACCCTGGGAAATTGCACACTTAGAACTCATGCTATCTAACCTGTGCTCCATAGGGAGCTGAGCCTCAGCGGGATTAGATTCCTGAGGTTGCTATAACAAACTACCACAAACCTGGTGGATTAAAACAACGGAAATGCATTTTCACGTTCAGGAAGCCAGAAGTCCAAAATCAAGGTGCTGGCTGGCAGTTGATTTCCTTCTGGAGGCCCTGAAGATTCTGTTTTATGCCTGTCTCAGCTTCTGGTGGTCGCAGGCAGTCCTTGGAGTTCCTTGGCTAGTAGATGCATTATTCCCATCTCTGCCTCCACTCGCATCACCTGGGTGTCTCTGTCCTCTCCTCTTGGGACACCAAGGCCAAAAACCCAGGGGGCACTTTAACCTACATCCCTTTGCCACAGGCTGCCCTCTGTATCATTGTCAGTAATTAATACTTGCAGTTTTGTCAAAAGACTTACTGAGACTGATCAGAGGCCGAGGGCAGTGTGGACAGCCTGTGGGAATGTGTGAAGCACTCCTGCCTGTACCGGCTCTTCCATCAGTGCGGTGGTCTCTTCCCCAGTCCTGTACTGCCTTACCCACACCACAGGGCTGGGCTGGGGCACCTGGTGGGTCCCACATGGGTACTGCTCCCACTGACACTGTCCTCATTGTAACATTTTCCCAACAGGAACGCTTCTTACCATCAAAAGATGTACTACACATACTTGAAACCTCTTTTTTATAAATAGATCTTGTAGTACCTGTTACAACCACTTGGGTGTATGGCATGTCCATTAAATAAAACTCAGGTTACTTTCAAAGACCACAGCAGGGCAATTCATTTTTGTTATATCAACATTCTTGACAGAGACAAATAATTTACTTCATCTTGTGTATAGCTCTTTGATTAAAAATTCACTTTTCGGGGGGGCACCTGGGTGGCTCAGTTGGTTAAGTGTCTTGACTCGGCTCAGATCATGACCTCACTGTTCGTGGGTTCAAGCCCCACTCGGGCTCTGCACGGACAATGTGGAACCTGCTTGGGATTCTCTCTCCCTCTCTCTGCCCTCCCCAACTCATGCTTTCTCTCTTTCTCTCAAAATGAATGAACTTTTTAACTAAATATTAATCTTGAAAAAAAAAGACATTTGTTTTATAACAACATTCCATTCATATGTGTATCTTGTCTATACCTGTATCCTTTCACTGCATATAGTGATTTGTGTTGTACCAACCCAACATTCCAAGAGATACAGAATATATCACCCAATCCTCTGGCACAAAAAAAAAAAAAAAAGAGAGAGAGAATCTTGATCTGAACCTCACATCTTCTACAAAAACTCAAAATGGATAAATGGATCATAGATTTAAATGTAAAGCATAAAACTGTAAAATGTTTAGAAGGCAACATAGGAGAACATCTTTAGGGTTGAAGAGTTCTTAGGACACCAAAAAGCATGATCCACCAAAACCCAAAAGCAAATGATGAACTGTGCTCCATATCGTGGAATGCTGAGTGGCAGTAAGAAGGAATAAACTACATGCAACAACTTGAATGGATCTCAGGGGAATTGCATTGACTGTTAACAGCCAATTTCAAAAGGGCCCATACTGTGCGATTCCATTTATGCAATATATTTTTTTCTGATATTCTTGAAATAACTAAATTCTAGAGATGGAGAACAGATTAGTGGTGGCCAGGGGTTAAAGATGGGGGACAGAGGTAGGTAGTTATAAAGTAAAAGCCTGAAAGAGCCTTGTGATAGAATAGTTGTGTGTCTTGATTATGTTGGTGGTTACACCAATCTACACATGAATAAAACGGAACAAAACTGTACACACAGATACAAATGAATGCATGTAAAACTGGTGAAATATGTCTAAGCTCTATGAATTGCCCCAATGTCAATTTTAGTGATGAATCTAAAAAGTTTAGCTGGGATACTAACAGTAGGTGGAAGTATCAGCCAGTAGGTACAATGTATTTTTCCTTATTTTTTTCCAACAGTCTCATGAAGCAAAGCCAGGATATCCTTTGAATGGATATTCTTCTCAGTCTAGCCCGATCTGTCTTACAGTTAGTGATGAACACCTAAAGCCAGACTCAAGAAAGAATTATTAGTGAAGTTTAACATCAAAGAGCATGCATTCACAAGTGAATACAACAAAGTTATGTATTGCAAACACTGTTTATAATAGCCAAAGAATGGAACTTTCCAAATACCCATCAACAGGGGACGACAGTATATCCATGCACTGAAATACTGTCCACAGGAAAAACAGCCACTGGATTTTAGAGACTGGTGTGAAAAAAGAATGTAAAATATCTCAATAAATTTGTTTATTACATATGGAAATGGCATTTTGACGATATTACATTAAATATAGTATATGAACATTATTTCTGAGATATGGAGACAACCTAAATGTCCATCGAGAGATGAACAGATAAAATGTGCTATAGACATATAATGGAATATTATTCAGAAAAAAAAAAATTCTGCCACATGCGACACAAGTAAACCTGAAGGACATTATGCTAAGTGAAATGAGCCAGTCACAGAAGCACAAACTCTGCCATGATCTCACTCATACGAGGTATCTAGTCACTCACAGAAACTAGAATGATGGCCCGAGGAAAACGGGCAGTTGCTGTTGAACGGGTGTCAGATTCCACTTAACACAAGACGAGTGAATTCTAGATACCTGTACAACGTTGTGCCTGTCGTTAACAATACTACCATGTACACATAAACATCTGTTAAGAGGATGGATGTCAGGGTGGATGTCAAGTTCAGTGTTTTTACCAAAAATGAACACACACGACCCCAAAGGGCACAAGGAATCTTCTGGAAGTGGCGTTTATTACCTTGATTACAATCATTTCACAGGTGTATGCATGTGTTCAAACCCATCAGATTGTATACATTAAATACGTGCAGTTTTGTAGAACAACTACATTTCAGTAGAGCCACCTTTTGTTTTTACTTTAATGGAGATATAAGAAAATATAAAATTACATCTATGGCTTGCATTGTATTTGTATTGGACTGCTCTGCTCTAGCCAGAGAAATGTTTGATGGTCACTGCCTGCTGAAAATAGAATACAAAGAACCTAGGGTTGGAAAGACTTCCCTGTATATCCGTCAAGTTACCAGTGTATCATTTTTTGAACATAATGTATTAAAAATCAACTTCAGTAGTTCTTATACTGGATAGACTCAGAAATCCTGAATTCTCCGTTGCTAGGTCTTGGTTGAAAACTCTAACACCCTTGGAAAAACTCCACAGTAACCAAGTAATATCTTCACTAAACTAAAGTTACTTACATCTTATTTTAATCTGATAGTTTTCCTAACCCAAAAGGCCACATCAGGTTAAATGACATCCAATTTCACTTTGATGTTCATAGCTGCCAGTTCGGCTACAAAATACCGGAAAACGTAAGGCACAGAAACAGTGTCAATAGTATCGCTGCGATTACATAAAGTACAGTTGTACTTTCTGTTGCGCATGGCAGACCAAGAAGGCGGTGGCTTCTCCAACAGTGGAGAGAGTAAACTACCACACTCCACGCACACGTGGGCTACCGATCGATCCGAACAGTTGAAGAGGCGGTCATGAAGGAGAAAAGATGTACCGTGGGCTAAAAGAGCATCCCGCTCCATTTCCCCAAAACGGATTCCGCCCTGGACGTTTCTTCCCCCAATAGGCTGGTTAGTGACTTTGTCTCTGGCTCCCGTCGTTCTAACCTGGAATTTGTCTGAGACCATGTGGCGTAAACGTTGATAATAAACCACGCCTATGAAGATGTCTGCTTCCAGTTCTATCCCACTGATGCCACTATACAGCCTCTCGGTGCCATAGAAGTTGTAGCCAGCAGCTTTCAACATCTCACCGAAGTATTCTAAGGCTGAGTTCTCCTCTGAAAAGGTGAAGGGTGTAGCATCGTGGCAGAGACCGTGCAAAGCAGCAGACTTCCCCGCCATACTCTCAATTAACATACCAATGGTCATGCGGGAGGGAAAACCATGAGGATTGAACAAAATGTCTGGGACCATCCCACTCTCAGAAAATGGCATGTCCTCAGCTGGCCACAACCGGCTCAAGATGCCCTTCTGCCCATGACGACTGGCAAATTTATCTCCGATAGTTGGGTTCCGAGGGACTCTCATCGTGATGCAAATACACTTGAATTTCCCACTGCCGGTGTCATTACTGCACACTTTGATGTTATCCACAATGCAATTTTCTTTACTCCTAGGAAAAAATAAGCAGACGGGAGGTCAAACTATGTTCTTTAAACTTACAAAGACACTTAAGTCTTATTGATATAATTAGTGCGTCATATAGGATATTTGCAAAACTTATTCCTACCTCTACTCTCCAGTACAAATAGAGATGGTGTCCCTACGAGTATTTACGAACACGGCTACTGATTACATTCACTACACAACTGTGCCCATCTGAAAGAACGGCAACAGAGGCAACTGAAAAACTATGATGAAGACCTACTGTTGAAACAATTTTCTGGATGTAAAATAAGCTAAGAAGTTTTTAATTTTAATACAAGGCACAGTGAACTTGACATTTTAGCTAGGAAAATTCCTAACAACATGCCTGAGAGAGATGATCAAGTTTGAATAATACAGTTTTGAAATCAATCACAGGTAACTTATCAAACTATGAGACTGAAAAGAGAAGTAGAAAAACAAAGGCCATACAGCAGACACAGAACTTTGTCTCATTTAAGAAACACCACTTCAGTTATGACTGAGTCAGTGACTAAAACCATCACTTCTGTCTTCTCCAGAATTCTCCTGTTAAAAGATAACATTCACTGACCACCAGCAATTTCATTGAGAAACAGCCTTCACAAAGTAGTACTGGGTATCCGAACTTACTTATAGTAGATCACAAAGTTTTCCCCGGTGTTGAGGTTCAGGTAGCCATAATACGGATCTCCATACTGCAACTGTGCTCCGATAAATGGCAAGCCATCATCATCTAACTTCTGCAAAACCCGTGGGTCACCAAGTTTGACTCCGAACACCAGACTATCATCTCCTTGTTTAATTTTTTCAGAGAGATCTATGAACTCAGACTTGTAGACACTTCCATGGGCAAAGCCTCGTTCCCAAGAGGCCTTATTCACAATCTGTGAGGTCAAAAAAATCATTAATTTAAGAGACTGAGGCCAAATGGGGATTTTCAAAATTAAAACTAGTTAGAATTAAAATACTGGGTTTGGGGCGCCTGGGTGGCGCAGTCGGTTAAGCGTCCGACTTCAGCCAGGTCACGATCTCGCGGTCCATGAGTTCGAGCCCCGCGTCGGGCTCTGGGCTGATGGCTCAGAGCCTGGAGCCTGTTTCCGATTCTGTGCCTCCCTCTCTCTCTGCCCCTCCCCCGTTCATGCTCTCTCTCTGTCCCAAAAATAAATAAACGTTGAAAAAAAAAATTAAAAAAAAAAAATACTGGGTTTATGATAACTGCCATTCTAATTTTAAAACTCCAAATTTTCCAAGTCACCTACACTAATAAAACCCAGACACTTGTAAATGGCTTAAGACCTAATCATACATAAATATAAATGATAGGGGCACTTTGGTGGCTCAGTCAGTTAAGCATCTGACTCTTGATTTCGGCTCAGGTTGTGATGTCGCAGTTCATGAGATCAAGCCCCACATCGGGCTCTGTGCTGACAGCACAGAGACTGCTTGGGATTCTCTCTCCCTCTCTCTTTGCCCCTCCCCCGCTCACATATGTGTGCGCTCCCTCGCTTAAAATAAATAAACCTAAAAATAAATAAATATGAAATGTAGACATATCCAAGACCTTATTCACTCAGCATCTACTCACACATGCACTTAAATATCCATGATATATGCATATTTGAATATTTAGTGAATATCCCTCAAGGCTTGCCATTTTCTTTCTTTCTTTTTTTTTTTTAATGTTTGTTTATTTTTGACAGAGAGAAAGAGTATGAGCAGGGGAGGGGCAGAGAGAGAGGGAGACACAGAATCCGAAGCAGGCTCCAGGCTCTGAGCTGTCAGCACAGAGCCCGACGTGGGGCTCAAACTCACAGACTGCGAGATCATGACCTGAGCCGAAGTCAGACGCTCAACCGACTGAGCCACCCAGGCGCCCCAAGGCTTGCCATTTTCAATGGAGACTAGGAATTCATCATTTAACAGAACACTCTGGTGCCAGGACATGAAAATATTCCTTCAGTAATCCCACAGTAAACAAAAAAGTTAAAATGAAAAGAAATGAGGGGTGCCTCGGTGGCTCAGTCAGTTAAGATCTGACTTCGGCTCCGGTCATGATCTTGCGGTTTGTTGAGTTCGAGCCCCGCGTCGGGCTCTGTGCTAAGAGCTCAGCGCCTGGAGCCTGCTTCGAATTCTGTGTCTCCTCCTCTCTCTGCCCCTCCCATGCTCATGTTTTGTCTCTGTCTGTCTCCCAATAATATAAACGTTAAAAAAAAATTTTTTTTAAAAAGAAAAGAAATGAAACTACATTCTCTTGGCAGAACTCACCATGGCATCTTCCATATCGTAGCCAGTGTAAGAAATAACAGCAACAATGGCATTTGTCCCAATTGGATAGTTATCCATATCATAATAATCATACATGTATGGTCTCACTAAAGGGCTTTGTGGAGTCTGAAGACGATACAGTTTATTATCTGATCGAGCTTGGTAAGTGAGAAGTGGAAAGCCCATAGTTTGCTTCCCTACAAAGGAAAAAAAAACCCTTAGCATCGTTTTCCCCTTGACTATAAAGGTCATATATAAAATTGGTAACAATAAAACATTCATCATCAGGGAATGAATAAATCAATTGTGGTGGTTCTGCTCACTACAGACTAATACACGGCATGAAAATGAAGCAGACCATGTGTATCTATGTAGCCAGACCATGAAAACGATGCTGAGAGGGGAAAAGCACAGAATGACATTTAATATTATACGATTTAGGCACATATCCCAGATAATTCCACTCCTAGTTTATGGACATGTGTATAATGTAAGAAAAGCATAAAAAGGATGCATATAAATTACAGGATATTACTAGTTGGGGGACAGACGGGGTGAAAAGCAGACAGTAACTATTATCTATCTACTTAGATTACTTCCTTACACACACACACAACACAATGTCAGTATCTGCTAATTCTGGGTGTGGGGTACAGAGGGTAGGGAAGTAAGACTCTTCTTTGTACTACTTCACATTACAGAGAATCAACCTGAAACAAAATGATTTATAAGACCATATGTGTATGCATAGATACACAGTGAATTTTAAAATCTAGAAAAGGAGACTTCCAGCTTCCAGTAAGAGAAAGCTACACCTC